GAAATCAACAAAAATGGGTTCTTTGCGACCCTTCGAGTCCACGGAAAAGGCATTCAATTCATTAGCACTTAATATATCCTTATTATGCGATAATAATAAACTAAAGTCTCTATTAATGGCACGAAATGTCACCAAATGATCGACGGATTCGTTTCGATTATCATTGAATTCGGCACTTCTTTTCACTACTTTATTGTGTTTGATATCATTTGTTTCAATGATTTCATAGTATTTTATTTGAGGGATACTTTGGGTTTCGTCTGAAATTGAATTCAATAAAAAGTTAATAACCGGTAATAATATGGTAGAGTTAGGGCTAACCCATAGACACCTGCACCCCATCTCAACAACTATTGAATCCAAATAACAGTAATATAATGCAAACTGATATCAATGGCCTTAATGTTGTGATAATTATGTGAAATATGAGGTAAAACTAAATTTAGACGATTGGATAACCTATTAGAGTAATGTTATACATGAGAGTCAATTACATTCAATTGTAATCTTATCTAATCTAGCACGTTCAGATCTAACATAGCATAGCAATTCCCATACATATACACCCTTTCAATGTATAATAGGTGTATATATTTTTAATAAATAATTTATTTTATGTTAATTAACGACACGTTTATGTAAACGTTTGTCAACCAAAGTGTCGCAAAGTATTGAATCAATTGATAGAGACTTACGTGAGAGTGAAATGAAGCCCAAAATGAGTGTAAATATGAGTAAAATCAACGAATGCTTACAATTCATGATTACATTCATTGCATTCATACATAATTTAGCATTAATTTTGATTATAATTTAGAAAATAACTTGGTTTCACAGTAGCATGTTCACTTTGATTGACACATTAGCAAAATTAGTTAACAATTGGCGCTGAGATCACAATATTATTGCATTATTATAGTATTTCATTTGAATTATGTCTCACTTTTGATTACATTATCAGATAATAACACATAAATCAACACAAAAAAGCATTCATTATTTGTAACGTTTTATGAAAATAGTGGTGAATATGTAAAAATGCATTGAAAAACATGTGTAAAGAATAATAGCATTCAATAACAGTCTATTCAGTGACACATTAATCGCATATCTAAGCAAACCTAACCTAACTCTCTGTGCAAAACTCAATGTCTATTCAGTTTTCAAACATAACTTCAAACACTGATAAACATTATGTCACGGGTTTTGTATCGCAATTACGTCTCATTACGTGAGTTACCTGTCCATAGGAAATGTGTGGGAAAGGGATGTAGAGTTGTTGACGTTATTTAGTAGTCATGACTTCATACCCGGCTTATTGTCAGTCATCAATGCATAAGAGTGTATGAAATACAGGTAACACTCAGGTATGATCTCATCGCTTGTCTAACACTTTATGAGTAATTGTTTTAAATACTGCATACAATTAATCATTTCATTGACACTTCATTATGTGTACTATAAAGTGGACGACAGTCACCACTAGTCAGCACTTATGTAGAGAATAAATTACCTGTATACTATACCTTACATAATGATCAAGTACACTTTCATTGCTGCCGACGCCCTACTTTCTTAAGTTTTCTATGATTCTCACTTATATTCACTTGAATTAGTGTACTCCCCATACAATAAACCAAATCCATTAATCATATAATTTCGCACACATTATGCAACCATGAGTTGTAAAGCATTTCATATAACATTTGAAAGCAATTAATGAATTCTTGACAAGAATTTCAAAAAACGCAAAATATTTGCATTCAAATTGAGCGCCAATTGTATGCGTGGAGTGAATGCACACAAAATGTGTTCACTTTTTGTCCACTGATTTGATTTGAAAGCATTGATTGAGTTCTCAATTCATTTGACTTTTAGTTTGGTTTTTAGTATTCATTCAATAATTGGTTTACATTTGCATTCAATTGACGGACAGTTAGTGGTTGTGTTGAAGTGAGAGGAATGGCGGACACGACTGAAGCAAACAGCGGCCAAAACAATGCCAAACAAAGTGAGATCAATGTCTACGGAATCGTGTCTTCGGTGCTCTACATCTCCATTATAGTGATGGTCGGACTGCCGCTGTGGTGGACAACCACTTCCCCCTCCAGACACTCGCTTCCAGACATCAGCGCACTGTTAGTCAGCTCACAGACCATAAGACATAAGTTTCCCGTATGTGTCGTAACCATCGATGGGGGCGTCGATCGCGAAGACCTGCGCTCACAACTGGTCCACAATTGGCCGCAACGGTTCAGCTCTGATGGAAGTCTGGCCTATATTTACGAGTGGAAAGTGAGACAACTTCTGCCCAAAGAAGAGCTTATCTTCAAAAGTGATTCCAATAAAAGGCTTCTAGAGATCGACGACGAGTTGTCTGCCGTCGAGGGACACGAAACCAAAGGCAAGATTTGGGTCTTTGTGTTGGACTCGAAGACGGAACTCATTCCGAGCGCTAAGAGTCAGGTCTTAGGGAGGAATCGATTCTTTTATCTGCGAAACGACGCGAAGAGGTTTGGCGACAGATCTTTGGCTGAAGTGATCAACGATTTGGTGGAATCGACTCAAGTCTTGTCCGATATGTCATACAATTCCCAGAGAATTGATTTCCTATTGAATCCGGAAATCGATTTAATCGTAAACGTTGTCAACGAAGACGAAGAGGCGAACCAATTGCTAACTAAAAGAGTCGATGAAATCCATCGATTGGGAGACTTAGGTCTCATCAAAGAGAGCGGTGTTTCAGAACTGATTCGCTTTAATCTAAACTCTCAGGCATTGCATTACGTCTTCAGGAGTGACTTTATTTCCTCTCATTTGGCGAAAGCCAATGAAAGCGAGACAACGATCGCGAAGAACGAGCGACTCCTGGATGTGTCGAGTGTTCCCATTCTGATGAACACCATTGAGTCGCGAGTCGTCGAACACAACAATAAGCAAAGCTATCACCTCTTGGTTTACATACCATCGAAGAATCCGTTATTCTTCTACGACTCGACAACTCAGACAAAATCCAATCTATTGGTGACTCCATTCAGAGGAGGACTTCTCATTTGGAACAAAGACAACGATTTTGTGAACGGCTTTCGAGCCGTTATTCGTAATCTGATGTCACTTCCAGACGATATCCCGAAGAATTTGATTCAAAACGAACTCTTCTTCACTAAATGGGAATTGGATGCCATTAGGAGATCCATCACTCAGAAGAGAATACTGAAGACATTGTCATCGTTGGAATCGATATCGAAACTGATCCTCAAAGTGAGTAATATTGTGATAATCCAAGAGATCGCTCAACGCATGCATACAGCGGTCGACGTGTCCATCGTTGCCATCAATAGTCTGTACGAATCGGATCTAAACAATGCATACAAACTGAGCGCAAAGGGCTACCTGTCCTCAGAGACAGCATTCTTCGATCCGTCGCTCTTATCGTTACTCTACTTCCCGGACGACCAGAAATATGCCGTATATTTCCCACTATTTCTTCCCGTGAGTCTACCCGTCATCTCATCCCTCTATTATCTCTACAAGACTTTCAAAAAACGGCATTAATTTTGTTGTTCTTATATACCATTAGCTAATCATTTGTTTTATACACTAAAAGAGATTTTATTTATTTATAGTATTTATTTTAATTTAACTATATTTTGGCCTTAATTTCCAATTAATTTCTAAAATAAATTTTACAAACAATTTAAGACTAATTAGTTCATCGTTTTTGCGAACAAAACAAACATTTCATTGAAATAAGCGCTAAATGAGTGATCACTTCTTGGAGAGGAAGTCCTGCCACTCCTCCTTCTCCTTCTTCTCGGCCAATATCTCCTTCATATACGGCTCCAGAAATCGGCCCTTCGTTTCGTCCTAACAGTCATTACGAGAGAGAGAGAGAGAGAGAGAGAAATCATTTGTCAAACAATTGTCATCATTGGAAGTGCTGGTCATCGACAGACCTCCTCATAGGTGTGGCGCTCTTTCTCGGGAATAAACGATTTGGTGATCTCTAACTGAGCGCACCGTATGGTCCGGAAGGCCCACCGGTCGTACTCATCGCCCGGCAGTCGACGCAACGCCTCGTTGTAGACGTCCTCATCGCTCGGATGGAAAGGCAGTTTACCCAGACACTCGATGTCATTCTTGTACAGACCTACACACACCAGACCATCGGGATGTATGTCTGTGTGGCCGTGGACTACGACATCCACTTTGAAGTGATTCATTAACTCCTTGGTAACACTATAAGGGGCGCCGATCACCACTTCATTCACGTACTATAAGTACCCAAAAAATAAGTCGACGCAACGCCTCGTTGTAGACGTCCTCATCGCTCGGATGGAAAGGCAGTTTACCCAGACACTCGATGTCATTCTTGTACAGACCTACACACACCAGACCATAGCATTACAAGACATGCGGTGACATTGGATCAGCTAATTGTTACCCATTTTGTTATAACCACTCAAATTGTAATACCATTTACGAAACGCCGGGTGTTTGATCCCTGTTTGACAGACAGTAAGGCATTAGTTATGAGTGGAAATAGTGGTGCGATTATCACTGACACTGTCGGACCACTTGTGATGTGAACACCATTTCCTAAACACCGTTTAAATCCGATTTAAATGACAATTCAATTCACAAACGATTGCAACAAAAATGTCTGCAAAGAAAAGTGTTGTGTTGTTGTGTTTCCATAGAAACCAATCGACCCTTTAAACGGTTGTTATGTGAACGACGTTTTGGTACCTTTAGTCTACATGTGGATCGTTGGGTTCATTGTTTCCTAAAGGCATAAATGGTTTTGTTTTGAAACGAGTTTTTGTTTGGCATTTAAATGAGTGAATCAACGAATCATTGATTTGTTGTTTGCCTTTAAATCTGTGCTAACAATGGATCCAAAAGTGACCGCAAAAGGTCTTCAGATGACATTTCCATCCACTTATCCATTAGTTTTTAACCATATTTTCATTCACAGATTGTCTTCATTTGGCGAACGATATAATAGTCGACAGAAATCTATTGATCCCACGCTTGACATCACTAAAAGACATCACATATGAGTTCTTTGTGATGATCTTTGAGGACATCTTTGGATCCGATTTCGCCGACTTCTCATCAATTGTTCCCAAATCGAAATCACGTGAAATCCAATTAATGGCTAAACTTCTGGCATTTGTGTCCAAAGATCTGTTTGCTGTTGAATTGGATCACATCAGAGCTGAAGACATCATTGACCACAAAGTGCTTCCAATCCACGACTTCTTGGAAATTATCGCTACTTTTGTGAAATATCTTCCGAAAGAGTTTAAGGAAAACAATTCGTTTGGATCTAAACCACAGACAAAAGCCATTGAAATGATTGGTTCGCCAAAGATGTCGACCGAAGACTTGTTGCGATCTTTAGATAGACACAGATCTCAGACGCGATTGAGTGCCGACTCGACGTCGAGCTCACAATCGACTTCTTCTGAGTCTAAAGAGTCGTTTCTTCGGCCGAAGCGGTCGTTGAGACAAACGAAGCCTTCTTTCGATTGCAACACAAGTAATCGAAAGCAAGATTCGAGACAACAATCCAAAGCCATTCAAACAGATATCGAGACACAAGTGATTCCTAAGAGTATTATTTGGCCGAAAAGCACGAAATCAATTGGTTTACAGAAAGGAATGGATTCACCGAAAGAATCCTCTTTTGATGAATACAAACGACTAAAGTGTGAAAACTTTGCCACTCTTTTGGGCCATCGATTGCACGAAACGCTTCGTCTGAAAGAATTGACGGATAGTATTGAGTATAAGATTAAGCGATATTATGGAGACGTAACCACTCGTACGCCACAGAAACCTGTCATTAGATCCGCCACTAAACCGAAGAGCGCTCGCAAAACATGGTTTCGGACGAAGAGATCGCCGCAAATGAAAAGAAATACTCAATTGAAATGCAAAACTCCTGTCAAACAAAGCTTTAGAACTTCGAGTTTAGATGAATTGATTAAAGCGTTTCCAGAGATCCCCAGAAATACTATTAAATCGCTTCAGAATCAGGAGAAGCACCAGAAGAAAGTGATCGAAGGACTCAATAAAGACATTGCAGTGAATGAGCAGAAAGTGAAGACCCGATTGAGTGCCGCCATTGAGACACAACACAAGAGATCACAACTAATTCGCAATGAAATCAAACACTTGGAAGCGTTGGCCGAAACGAAAGGCTCGAAAATGCAGAAAATCAAAGAGAATGCAGAGAAACGGGACGAACGGATAGAGAGGTCGCGAATGCATACAATGATGAATAGGTTTCAAAACGATTTAAACGCCAAATACAAGAGATTACAAGCGATTGAAGAGAGAATCGTTTTGAAGGAGTTTGAAGAGAAGGAGAAGCGAAGAAAGGATTACATCAATGACTTTAGGCATCGCATCCAAGAAAAGCATTCATTAGAAATGGAGAAACAGAAGCAAATGTTTGACGCCTTCGAGACTTTGTATGTGTTTATTGTGTTTGAATTGTTTGATAAGAATTTTGTGATTACTATTGATTTCCTATTGTTTTCTCAGATATCAGAATAAATACGAAGAGTTAAACCAAAGCCTCACTGAAGAGGAGAAGCGATTAAAGAGTGAGATCTCCTCTCAATCGCATTATTTGCGTTCACTTAAGAGGGAATTCAAGGAAAGGTTTGAAAATGATTTCAGAAATGTTTTCAACAGTTAGCTCTTTATCGCATTTTTATAGATTAATGTAATTTTTTTTATAAAAGTATACAAATAGTTTATTGACTTTTTTATCGCATTTTTATTGAATGTTTTTCGCGATTTTATTGTTTTTCATTTATAATGAAGTTTTATACACTTTTCTAATTGACTTATAAATTATTACCTCATAATTACTGCTTTATTGTAAATCAACTTTGTAATAAAGTTATATTTGTTGTGTATTTGTCTAAATTAATAATAAATTTAAATTATCAAAATTGGGTCAAAAACCAGACCTTGACTTTAGACTTACACAAACACTTATTGTTATAAATCTGTTGCTTTTATTAAATACCATTACGAATCATATGATAAGTATTAATTACATTAGATTTGGGAAACAAACATAATTTGTTATTGATTAACATAGTGTCTAAATCTATAGACAAAAAACTTATTTGTAATTAAGTGCTCAATTGAACACATATTTGACTCGATTTATCATGAATTTGACATTACATTGATTGCAAAAAGTGGTAAAATTGTATACCGTAATAACAGTACATTTTAAAAACATAATTCTTTATAGCGTACAAAATTTTACTATAAATTTACACTATTCTGTGACCTTTCACTGAAAGGGGTTTAAGAAATTTAATGTAAACTTCTAAACCATTACTGTGTTTATAATGAAATAATTATATTATATTAATATATCAGAAATCAACGATTCTTTGACTTTTCGTTGTTTGTAAAAAGCTTTGGTTAAAATTAATAAAAGTTACATAAAATGAATATAAATGTACCGTACCGGTAACATTCTCTAACGATTATAAAACTTATATCAGAAATCAACGATTCTTTGACTTTTCGTTGTTTGTAAAAAGCTTTGGTTAAAATTAATAAAAGTTACATAAAATGAATATAAATGTACCGTACCGGTAACATTTTCTAACGATTATAAAACAAATTAACTGGACAATATAATAAAAATATATTTGAATAAAAAAATTAATCTCTAATTAACGCCGTGCCCCGAACGCAATGACTATACAAACACCAAACACTTGACTCAATAAATGACTTAATGTTTACCGCAATTACTGTCGACTCCGTTAAGTTCGTTGAGTCTCTGAATCACTTCAATCTCTCGCTTCTCCTTATTCTTATTCCTGAGTCTGAATTGCATAGAATTGGCTATAATTCTGTCGACGATATCAAAAGTAGTCAATTGGTTCCCACTTTCAATCGCTTTGAATTTCCCCAAACGTTTCGGTTCCTAAACAGTGAGACAAACAAAGAAATAACCATTTATTGCGAGAAAACCACAATTTTATTACAGTGTATGGATCGGTGCCATCGGCGTCGGGATGTATGTCTGTGTGGCCGTGGACTACGACATCCACTTTGAAGTGATTCATTAACTCCTTGGTAACACTATAAGGGGCGCCGATCACCACTTCATTCACGTACTATAAGTACCCAAAAAATAATCATTAAATCCATTAAATGATTAAACAGTGTCTAATATTTAGCAGAATCGGCACAAAACAATCATATCTCTAGTGATAAAGAATGGCATAACTCTATCATACCTTACATGCGAGCACTGATAGCACTCGTTCGTGTAGATTCATAATCGGGTAGTTATAGCTCCGGTATCTGTTCACCACTAAATCCGTGTGTAAACCGACGATTAGATAATCGCCTTCTTTGCGGGCCTTCTCCAAGAAGTCTATGTGTCCGACATCTGCAACGAGCCATAGATTATAGTTTGCCATTAGTTCCAAGAAGTAGTGGATAAGAGTGAGTCTTACGGAACAGATCGAAAGCTCCGGCGACGTAAACGATGCGGTCATTAGGTTTGGGTTCCTTTCCCTCCGCAAACTGAATGATCTTCTGAGTGGTCGGCAGGAACTGCGAGATCCCCGTCCAGGGGCTGTGCGCCGTCGAGTCGCGGCTTATGTTGGCCGTGTGCTCCCTATCGGGCAGGTCTTCGATGGGACCACTTCTTCGGTGATGCGTTTTCGTCAACAAAAGCATTCTTCCGACCAAATCGGTGGTCGACACGCCTTCCGTGCGCTGACACTCTCTGTACCGACCGTTCTCTTTGACGTATCGGTAGGTGTCGTGTCCGTCGGCGTCGAGTGTGATGTCGTTCCCGTGGACACAGAAGTCGCACTTGTATTGATCCAACGTATCCAATGTCGTGATATAAGGGGCGTCTCTGACCACCTCATCGACCCATTTGATGGCAGAAACCATTTTATATCTCTCCTCCTCGTTGAAGACGGGCGGACCCTTATGTTTGGCGATCTCCTCATCCGAGTGGACGCCTACTATCAGTCGGTCGCCCATAGCCTTCGCCTGTCTTAACTGATTCGCGTGTCCGAAGTGCACCATATCGTAGCTGCCGGTGCCGTACGACACGTGTGTAAGACAATTGTCATCAATGGTAGGCAACAACTAAATGAGTGCCCCATATGTGACCCTATCCTAACACCCCATCCCTTACCCCCAACTCTCAGAGCACTTCCCACAAGAGCTGATTCTTTGGGCGTATAATCGGAAACAAACAGATCATACATACCATCCGTCACACCAAACGCGCACTCCTTGGCCATCGGTTCCCTTCGGTGATGTTTGGGCCATAATCTGCAACTGACTGATAATCACTTGACTAGAGTTGTGGTGAAAAAGTTTGTGGTAATAGTGACCGAAACAAAGACAACACAAGTATTGCAAACAAATTGATTTCAAATGATTTGTTGGCTTTTAAAGCGAGTGATAGTCTTGTGGCTCAATGGATATCATTGGGAACCAGTAATCAGTAGATTAATGTGTTTACGATTAGTGGGTATACCAGTGATAAGGACAGTGCGGTTACGCCACTGACTGACAGTTTGTTTGCAAACCGTCACCAAAAGCCGATCCCTTTTCACTGCCTTTTAAACGCAAATCATGTGATTATAACATATGATGTCATAGACTGTCAAACACTCAAACACTGACTCATTGTGCGTCCCATTAGTCACTGAATTAGTGGTCATTTGTGTCACTCATTCAATGCACACAACAATCACTTCATTCACACCATCTATACATTGAATTGAATGAATCCAACACTAAATGACATATAGTTTGCACTATTTATTAACCATAAGATCTATCATAATATGAATACTATTGACCCAACTTTGAGTGGAGTATAACCCGATTGCCTGATAGGGAAAGACATTGAAGCTGACAGACAGAGTGGTATACAGTGAATCTAACTGTGCTTGCTTATTTGTGCTAACTGTGCTTGCTTATTTGTGTGATACAACTTTAATTAACGGTAAAGTTGACATAAAATACAATTAACTGTAAAATGAAATGTTTGTCTCAAACGGATGAGTAGTCGCCATCTATTGTCACCACAAATGCTATGATAATAACAATGACTTAATTATCTTAGGATCATATTTCTGGACATTAATTATCATTCAATTCTTGCCACTCATTTGCCATCGGATCCATTGGATTGGAAACGAAATCAGTATTAATTGATAGAAACGGCGATTGCATTGAATTGACGCCAAAATATGTTACGAAATGTGAGTCAATGTCTGTCAAAGACATTGGGAAGACATCACTCGCGACACCGATGTCTGACCGCANCGCCGCCTTCTTCCCCGCCTTCTGTTGCGACTGAATCTTCTGCTGTCCCCTCGCCATCGCTTCCCAGTCACCACCGATTGAGTTGTCTGTCAAACACACCAATAGTTACACACAATTCACATATATTTACTACTTTTACGGCATTTTCACAACTAATTCAATGCTTTCAAACAATATTCCCCGCGTTTTGCTGGCGAAACACCAATTGTTTGACCATTGAGTGCATGTATTCAGCAATATTCAGACAATTAGTGATATTTGAGACAATATTTCATACCTTGAGTGCAATTAAACGGCAATTAAATGCCTTTTAATGACAATTATGTGTCGATTGACTGAAACGGCGTTTCACTGCTTGTGTTGAAGTGTTTTCGTCGACTCTTTGAACGCTTTGACTCGCATTTCACTCAAACATTGCGTTCATTCATAAACACTGTTATCATCGCAATAATAGACATCCCTTTCCTCCCTTCCCTGTCAAATGAATCATTGAAACGATGCTCATTCTTGTATGAATTATTACCTGTTAATTGCTATACTAATTGTAACCATCAAACAAACATTGATTATAGTTATATAAAATGATATTAAGTCGACAGACTAACTTAAACGATACCATGGTTAATTTAATAGATTTCATACCATTGACTTTACGATAAAGTTTTTAGAAAATAGACTAAATGTTTGAAATGAATTCAATTAGTTTCGAGACAAGTATTGCTTTATTTTAAAATCACAATTGATATGTGAATAATATATGCAATGAGTGTTATATTTAATGACAAATATATTAAGCGAATGAATAGATTGTATAATAAATTTGTTCAAAATTTGTGATTTTAGTGATGAAAGCGTTTAAAGCTGTTGTGAATGACTATCAATATCTAAGTTAGTATTTAATTATCAACAAAAATTCAGTAACACATACAGTAATACTATAGGTATTGTATAATTAATAACATATTGGTATAAATAAAATTTGTTTCAAAGAATTAATTCACTAAAAACTAAACAAAATTGCTTTTCCTATCAATTCTGTTAAAGACATCACAATTATATCAATCGTTATATTATTAGAAAAATCAAATCAAAAACAATTGTATAGCGATTAAAAGCCACAAAAACGCGAGTTTGTCGGTTATGTGAACGTAAGGCCGGCCTCTTTGTACGTGTTGTATATCTTCTCGATTGAGTTCACATAAGCGGCTGTCCTTAAGTCCAGACCTAAATTATATTTCATTGCTGTTCTCATGATTTGCTGTGAAATGTAACAAAAAACAAAAGTAGACATTAAGTACTGCATAACAAGATGTGATTGATTATAAGGCATACCCGCGCCGACCGTTCCATTGTATAGTCGAGACCGGAGTGGACGATATCCTTCTCGGAAGCGCCCGATATCTTCTTCTGGAAGGACTCACTCGGAACTATAGGTATACGTCCGCCCGCTTTGCCAAATCGCTTCTCAAGAGATTCCTGAACGCTCTCTAAACATACAAATCAATCGATCACTTCATCGGTTCCAGTGATTGTCATTACAAAACCCATACCTAATAAGTGGTAATTGGAGTCGCGTTCATATTTGAATAGCAATCGGCCATAACTGACATGATTGAGATTCTTAAGCCATTCAAAGTATGAGACGGTCACACCTCCAGCGTTGATGTATAGGTCGGGTATAATAAGAATATTACGTCCAATAAGTATCTTATCGGCTGCCGGTGTGGTCGGACCGTTGGCCGCCTCCGCTATGATCTGAACACAAATGATTGTCAATAGAAAAACACATTTGAATCAATCGTTTCACTGTATATTTCACATACTTTGCACTGAAGTTTGTGTGCGTTATCTTTGGTGATGACCTTTTCAGTGGCCGCCGGCACCAGAATATCGCACTTCTCGTACATTAGATTCTCGCCCTCATAGGGCTGGGAGTTAGGAAAGCCTACAATCGAGCCGTTGTTATTCAGCTTCCATTCCTCCAACTCCTTGGGATCGATGCCATTGTGGTTGAAAATACTGCCGTCCCTCTCAACGATACCGATACATCGAGCGCCCGCTCTATCCAAGTAGCGCATGGAGTGGAGGCCTACGTTACCAAAGCCCTGAACGATGAATGTCTTTCCACCCCAACCGGGAGTGACGCCAATCATTGACATAAACGAGGCCTCGTTTATGAAGTTATCGATTCCGTGGAAAACACCCTTTCGGTTGACAAGAAATTAATTTCTCGAGAGTTATATTCATCACAATTCTTGTCATAAAAGGCTTAACCCCTACCCGTCCGGTGGCGGAGACCCGGCCGTGTATGCCTCCCTGATTAATCGGCTTCCCGGTTATGCACGCGTGAGCGTTGAGGTCTGTGTGTCCGATGGTCTGGGCGTATGTGTCCGCAATCCAACTCATCTCCCGCTCACTCGTTCCCATGTCAGGCGCCGGCACATCAATACCCGGCCCTAAGAATCCTTTTTTGGACAACTGGAGCGCAAAACTTCGGGTGATTTTCTCCAACTCGTGATCACTGAACGCTTTCGGATCTATTTTCAGTCCAGCCTTCGCACCACCGAAGGGCACGTCCACTACAGCGCACTTGAATGTCATCAGAGCTGACAATGCCTTCACTTCATCCAAACAGACATCAGTACTGAAACGAATGCCTGAAGACATACCACAGATTAGGTCACAGATCAAGACATCAGAATCAGAGTTATGGATGAGTCGGGAGGGTAGGGGAGGGTTGGGTTAGCTATAGAGGGCTGACGTTACCTCCTTTGGTGGGAAGTCTGTGGTGACTGTGTTGTGCTCTCCAGCCGTTGATTATCACATACTCTCCGTTGTCTCTCTTGAGAGGATAGGAGACTTCGAGGACACAATGACACGGCCCTAAGATCGACAGATAACCCCTCACTTTCTTGCGCTTCTCCTCGGGAGTGAGTTTCCCCTTAAACTCCTCCACGAGTTTGTCTTCAACCACTTGCCATCCCTTGTGGTAGAAGTACTCAACCATATGAAAGAACGACGGATCAGCTGATTCCTCCACATATAGCAGACTCTCCGGTATTTCATGCGATTTATTCAGCGATGTATATGTCGAAGAATAGGCCACTAAGTGGGGAACTGTTGGAACCGTCGCTGCGGTCAGACATCGGTGTCGCGAGTGATGTCTTCCCAATGTCTTTGACAGACATTGACTCACATTTCGTAACATATTTTGGCGTCAATTCAATGCAATCGCCGTTTCTATCAATTAATACTGATTTTTGCGGTCAGACATCGGTGTCGGGAGTGATGTCTTCCCAATGTCTTTGACAGACATTGACTCACATTTCGTAACATATTTTGGCGTCAATTCAATGCAATCGCCGTTTCTATCAATTAATACTGATTTGGTTTCCAATCCAATGGATCCGATGGCAAATGAGTGGCAAGAATTGAATGATAATTAATGTCCAGAAATATGATCCATCGATAATTAAGTCATTATTATTATCATAGCATTTGTGGTGACAATAGATGGCGACTACTCATCCGTTTGAGACAAACATTTCATTTTACAGTTAATTGTATTTTACGCTTAACTTTACCGTTAATGCAATTAAAGTTGTATCACACAAATAAGCTAGCACAGTTAGCACAGTTAGATTCACTGTATACCACTCTGTCTGTCAGCCTCAATGTCTTTCCCTATCAGTCAATCGGGTTATACTCCACTCAAAGTTGGGTCAATAGTATTCATATTATGATAGATCTTATGGTTAATAAATAGTGCAAACTATATGTGATTTAGTGTTGGATTCATTGAATTGAATGTATAGATGGTGTGAATGAAGTGATTGTTGTGTGCATTGAATGAGTGACACAAATGACCACTAATTCAGTGACTAATGGGACGCACAATGAGTCAGTGTTTGACAGTCGATGACATCATATGTTATAATCACATGATTTGCGTTTAAAAGGCAGTGAAAAGGGATCGGCTTTTGGCTCCGGTTTGCAAACAAACTGTCAGTCAGTGGCGTAACCGCACTGTCCTTATCACTGGTATACCCACTAATCGTAAACACATTAATCTATTGATTACTGGTTCCCAATGATATCCATTGAGCCACAAGACTATCACTCGCTTTAAAAGCCAACAAATCATTTGAAATCAATTTGTTTGCAATACTTGTGTTGTCTTTGTTTCGGTCACTATTACCAC